TAGCAGTGGAGGTAGCCAATTAGGAGGTGCACAAGACACTGATAGACCAGGGGAGCTCGACAGATGTCTTGTATTGGCCGACCTTCCTCAGGTTAGATATCCCACACTCTGTCATCCAACCTCACACAGAGCCCCTAGTCGATTTTGCAGGAGAGCGAGTACACACTCGGGGATACGTGGACCTGCTGACCACCTTCGGAACCTCTCCGGACACAAGGAGAATTATGGTCCGATATCTCCTGGTGGAAGCCAACACCTCCTATAACATCATCATTGGGAGGCCGACGTTGAATCAGCTTGGCGCAATAGTGTCCACTCCGCACCTCACTATGAAGTTCCCAGGAAGCGACGGTAAGATCATCTCCGTCAAAGCAAACCAGAAGACAGCTCGGCAGTGCTATGCCGAGAGCTTGAAGATATCCTAGACCAGCGAGCAAAGTAAGAAGGATCCCCCCACCGTGGCTCACATCACCCACGTGGAAATCACCGATCTCGATCCGAGATCCGACTCCCATGACGAGAGGCCAAGCCCCATTGACGAGCTTGACGACCTACAGATCGAAAAACTCCCCGGGCAGTGCACAAAAATCAACAGGCAATTGAGCCCGGATTTGCGGCAACAACTCGAAGCGGAGATTCTCCAGAATGCCGACCTCTTTGCCTGGTCCAACGCTGACATGCCAGGTATAGACGCTGACTTCCCCTGTCACAGGTTAGCGATACACAAGGAGGCAAGGCCAGTCGCCCAGAGGAAGAGAAAGGTCGGCGGGGAAAGGCGGGGGGGCATCATCGCCGAAACACAGAAATTGCTGAACGCTGGCTTCATCCGTGAGGTCAGATCCCCCCCATGGCTGGCAACTGTGGGCCTGGTACAGAAGAGCTCGGGGAAGTGGCGCATGTGCGTTGACTACACTGACTTGAACAAAGCATGTCCCAAGGACTCATACCCCTTGCCCAACATTGACAGGCTGGTCGACGGAGCGTCCGGGCACGCCGTCCTTAGCTTCCTCGACGCCTACTCCGGGTACAACCAGATAATGATGTACCCACCCAACGAGGTACATATGTCCTTCATCACCGACCACGCCAACTATTGCTACTAGGTGATGCCTTTCGATCTAAAAAAACCCGGGGGCGACCTACCAGTGGTTGATGGGTAAGGTTTTCCACCACCAGATTGGGCAGAACATGGAGGTCTACGTCGACAACATGGTAGTCAAGATCACCTCGGCAACAGACCATGCTACCGACCTCGCCGAGGTGTTTGCTCAAATCAGGAGGCACAACATTCGCGTCAACCCGAAGAAATGCGTCTTCGGCGTCCAGGGAAGCAAGTTCCTCGGTTTCATGATCACCAGCAGAGGAATTGAGGCAAATCCCGAGAAGTGTAAAGCAAACCCCCCATACGTGAGCATATAACAACAACAACAAACAGGGGATTAAGGGCTAATCCAACTACCCAACATACATTCCCACACCCAGAGTAAGGTTTCTCACTCCCTTCCTACCTCGATAAACAGGGGTTGAAACTGATCGAGGCACACGTGTACAAAGCGAACACGGTATAGGGTCCAGGCCGAGCTGTACCGATTACAAGCGGCCAGATGTTTATTATTGTAAAGTTGTTATGGTGTCTATTATTGTAAAGTTGAAAAGTTAGGGACATATGGTGAATATATATGTCCTATGTTGAGATACATAGTACTAAGGAGATAATTTGAAAGTTGTTTTAACGTTGAATCCCTTAGTACTGTGTGGGCGACATGGAAATAGTCGATCCATGTCATGGTTGAATGACCAATTTGAGTAAGGTACCTAATTAGAGATGTAGTCTTTGACTAGGTACTGGAGGGTGTGTGGTACTTGGAGGATAGTGGGTGGGATAACTCCACATGTGGATTGGTGATGCTAGCCAAGGCCATGGTAGGCTTATACCCAAACCCTTCTATCCTGACAGTAGTACTGGACCTCCGAGTCTGAGTGGCACACTTGAGCAATCAACTATTGTTGTCTATACCTGGTTCTCTTCGGAGTTTCTAACGTTGTTCTATACCTGACCTGGTTGAGATAGGTCAAACGAATGTGATGATGAAATGTAATGAGGAGATGTGATGATGAGATGTGTTGAGACATGATAATGTGATATGGGAATGAGACATGAAAATGTGATATGAGAAAAGCATGGAGTCTTGATTGACATGCATCATATGCATAAATGTTTTTAAGGGTACGATATGGAATACACC